TGAATATGTTTGCCTTATCAGATATTTCCTCTGCATAACAAACACATACTTCTGTAATTGATTTCCTATATTTCAATTTAATCCTGGAAATGAATCTTACCTGTGTTTCTGAACTGTAGTATACTGTGAAAACTTTCCCAGCATTAGTAAGGATGAGCAGACATCTTTCTGCACAAGCTATCTGAGCAACACCAAGTTCTCCAATAGCCTCACAGTACTGAGGCATCATCCCTGAATCTGTGCAGCTGCTCCAGGCCAACCAACCCCATGCCAACACTTCCTGGTACTGCCCCATATTCTGCACCCCCAACAGACACACAGGTGAAGATAATATAATTTCTAAATCTGAGGTTCTCAGGGCAGTGACTATAAATGGCACTACCTTCTGTGACGTGACATCATGCAATCTGGTAGAATCTCTTCATTTTATTCCATCATCACAATAGGGAGTATGCTGTGTCCATACTACTGTGGTGACAGAATATAAAAAGAAATTTCACACACACAATATGACACTAAGATATAATATTTCCAGTCTGGAAGAAGTTTATCAATATTTTTGAGGAACATCAGCAAACCTCTACCAGACTGTACAGCATTACATCCCAGTAGATGCTACTTCTTGTAACATAATTTGTAAACATAATATTTTATAGCAAAAGTAACATTTCATGTGAAACAACACTGCTCATACCTTAGAACCTTTAAGACCCTCTGAGCTGAAGTAACTCACCTTAGTGAAGTTTGCTGGAGGGGTGTGAGGGGAAGCTAACCTATCCAAGTGTGACATGATGACCACAGCGGCCTGCTTCAAATCAACAGCCACACTATCATTGTCTGGCAACTGCAAATACCTCAAGAAACACTCAGTTGGGCTAACCTGCAATAAGTATGGAGTAAAACAAGTTTTCAGTAATCTTACACAGTATTTCTCAAAGTGGTCACAGTAGCTGAGCAGTCTAAGGCATGCACTGTCTTCGCTTGCTTGGAAGCCAGGATCGTGGGTTCAAATGCCACTCAGGGCATATATCTGTGTGTGTGCGTGTGTGTGTGTGTGTGGGCATATGTGTGCGTGCATTTCCCTGTGTTTGAATACAGGTAGAGACCTTGCGACGGGCTGATCACCCGCCCAAGGAGTCCTACCAAATGTCTAAGATCTAGTAAACCCAAGTGAAACGGAAGAGTTTCATGGAGGCAGGCCAAGGCCCAAATTGGGGCTATAGCACAAATGGAAAAATTTTCCAACTGACTCTGTAACCAGAGTAGAATTTTTGTGTTACGAACTATCTGAGGTTGTTCAAATCCAGATCCACACCTTTTCTGCTGTACCACGAACTTGTGGCATGTGTATCAGAGACAAAGTTAATTGAACAGTGGCATTGCTCAGCTAGTAGCACTCTTCATTTGTATTCTAGACATAATAAATTGGATAACCTCAGGGTTTTAGAATTATCTTCTGTTGCTGAGGTAGTACCAGCAAAAAGATTACTTCCTGGCACATCTTCCTTGTTTCATCACTTGCAGCCATCCTGCTATTCAAGAGAAAAATGGTGGTAAAATTAAGTGAAGCCAAGCGCCATAAAATGAAGGTAACAAATTTCACCCAAAACTCTGCTACCTATCTACCACACTACAAGGCATATCCCAGAAGACTATACAAGGTATGTCCCAAAAGTCATGAAATATATTTCTTTCCCGTGTTCCTACTGGTCGGAGAGTGCTGGAACCAGATGGGTTAGGGGGAGGAGGCCTTTAGCTTCATAGCACGCCCAAGGTCAGTCTGCTCGAGCTTCGGAGGTGTCAGTATCGCTGATTTAATGCATCTGTGTTTTGTGACCACGTCACGGCGCGTGATGGCGGATACTTTCGAACAACATTGGGCCGTCAAGTTCTGCATGAAGCTCAACAAAAAAGCTACCAAAACTCACGAACTGCTTAAGCAAGCCTACGGGGAGTCTTCTCTATCATATGTGCAAGTTACAAGGTGGGTGAAGAAGTTTAAGGAGGGCCAGGAAGGAGTGGAAGATGACCCCCGCTCTGGACGGCCATCAACAAGCCAAACTGATGAAAATGTGACT